AAAATGATCGCTGACAAACAGATTTGCTCATCTGTGGAACAAAATAATGGTGTCTTTGTCGGGTACCATAATCATGCCTAGGTAAACTGGCGTGATTTTTTATTTTTTTATATTTCAATATAACATTCAAACAATATAGTTGCTTCAGATCCAGTATCCCGAATTCCTTATATGAATAACTGAGGAATCGTCCTGTAGAATATCTGACACTTATTACATAACACTCTGTACGATGAAATTGATCATTTTAAATTTTATGATGGCTGATGCTTGAATTACGGTTCTCCTCAAATGACCGAGCTCAGTTTACCTGAATTGAAAATCTCCTTTGAACTTGCGCCTAGTTTATCCTCGTTACTTCTTATATATTCTCATGGTTTTATAATTATTGGTTTTTATCTTCAATACAATGAAGGATCTATATGATAATTTTGATTTTTTGCTAGCTTACAACTGGGTGGAAACAGATGTGACATCTCGAATGCCTGGAAATGCTTTACGCGGTGGATATGATGCGGACGGATCTCATATTTATGTAGGAAAAGCTTTTCATCAGGGAGACTGGATTCCTTCGAAAGTTATTCCTATAAAAAATGTAGCCTATGTGGCGTATAATGGAAAAGAACATGCCAAAAACAGGGTCCAGGTCAGTATAATACATTTTTCAAATGTTTTCCCACTTATTCTCAACAGTTTGTATGTTTGTTTGAAGGTGAAGTTTGTATGTTTTATTGAAGTATAATATTTGTGGAATATGTGGTGATATTTATACAGGGTGTAACTGAATAAGTGTAAAACATTTAAGGAGGTGATTCTTCATCGAAAAAAAGATAGGATCTTTTATATAAAAAAACTAACTTCATTGGAGCATCCCATGTTAAGATACAGCCCCTTAAAGGGGGTACATAAAATTTGTATTACAATTTTTTTCACAAGCACTGAAAAAGTTACAATACCTATTGAAATTAACCTGGCGTTTTGTACTACCAAAAAGACAGCCAGAAATTTATTTGGTTTATCCCATGGTCGTAAGGGGTGAAAAACGCAACCCCTAAAATTTATTTCCAATGTAACTTTTTGTCTTATTATTTGTTTACCATTTAAAAAT